ACATGCATGCAAACATACATACATATGCCGGCACAAACGTATATCCATATAAATTACACAAGCCGATAGGATAACGGTATCGTTAAAGATTATAGAAGCCATAACAACAACAAAAAAGCGCACTCTCACAGCGACCCGGTCTCTAAAGATACTACCACTATGGAATGAGGCCCCTAAAGACCATTCTCATCATGGTTTTGGGTGACCTAACCCTAAACCCTAAACCCTAAACCCTCATGGATGTTGGTAAAGCCGAAGCCCTGAGCCTGGATCCTTTAAGCACCTCGCAAAGCGAACGATTGGCAGCGCGGAAAGCATGCTGTAGGGGGCAACTACCGATAGGCCCCATAGTAGTTCCTTTTTGTGGCTTAGATTTAGGATCCTACTCGGTACTCCCAACAAGGAACTACTATGGGGCCAATGGGCAACCTAAAAGTTGAAGTAGGGGCCCTATATCCATATACACTGAATCCCTATGCGACATGGGAACCTTAAACCCTTTTGAGGTTCACCTCGTCCTTAAGGACCAGAGCCCTCAAAACACTAGACCCCATGTCCCGAAACCCGGAGCATCTGAGATCGGTTTAGGGCTTAGGGTTTACGGTTTAGGGTTTAAGGTTTAGGGTCCCCTGCTCCAAAACCACCGCATTGCCGTCAGGGGCTTGATTGCAGGTGTTTGGACGAGCCATGGCTGCAATCCTGTTACGTACCGATTTGGACGGGTTCTCTTGGGTTGACAGGATGCTCATAAGTTTTCAGAGGGGTTCTAGTTGTTGTGCGCGTGCTGTATAGGCATTTACGGGGAGTTTACAGGTTTTAGGGTCCTACGTGAGTGAGCACGGTACGTCAACCAAGGCAGAGAGTCTTAGTGAGGCGTACAAGGCCTAGGGTTACTCCTGCAGGTAGATCCAGTTGGCCAAACATTTTCTTGGAAGCTAGCATCTATATAGGTCCTAGTCTGTCTCCCGAACCACCAACACGCAATTCGTGGAGAAAGGGGGGTTTAGGGTTTTAGAGTTTAGGTTCAGGGTGTGGCATACATGCTAAGACACGTTTGGGGGCTTTTGGGGAAAGGTTTGTAGGCATATATAAGGAAATCATACTAAGAAACCACAAAAGGTTAGGTTAGCGGTCCAGCTAACCTATAGTTATAGCTCTGACTTTTATTTGTGGTTTAGGGTTAAGGGTTGAGGGCTTAATCCGGCATCCCCCAAACTTTGAACCCAGAAGTGCATCTGCCGAGGCTGGCGCTATCGTTTCTCTTGCTCTTCGCAGTGTTGTGCCCTTAGCAAAGTTGAAGCTGCTAGGGCGCTCCATTAGAGTGTTTAGCGGTTTAGAAAAGAACTAGGTTCCGAATGATTTTGTCGGCCTTTAAGGAATAGTTAGGGCCTCAGGTTCCGGGAGTTGGGCTTTAGGATATTTGGAGCATGAAGTTTGGACCTTGCATTTTGTTTAAGGTTTGCTTCGATTCGTTTGGTCTTCCTTCTGGGGATACGTCGTAGCTTTGGTATTCCCCTGGCTTCACAGCTGAGTAGGGAGGCTTTTCCCGGGAACACCTGATGATTCCATGATTACCAGGTTTGCCTTCTTGGGGGTTTAGGTTTCCGGGCAGAGTTGTTTTCTGTTTCTTGTGCGGTTCTGAACAGGGCCTCTCCCTTTTTCCAGAGACTCCAATACCCCTTAATGAAGGAATATACCTTAAATCATATTAAGGATCCTACTATAATTTAAGGTCTATTCCTTAATTAAGGGATATTGGAGTCTCTGGGTTTCCAAGTAGGCTGCGGGGAGCTTGCGCGTCTACACTTCTGGCTTTGAAGCATCCTCGGGTCTGTTGCTGCTCAGAGTGGGTTTAGGGTTCAGGGTTTAGGGTTTAGGGTTTAGGGGTTCAGGGTTTAGGGTTTAGGGTTTAGGGTCTAGGGTTCGCATTTTGTGCCGCAGTTTCGGTGTCGATTTCATTCTCTGGATCTGGTTGTGGTCACTGTAGAATCATGTGCTTCCGTCGCGGTGGGAGGAATAAGTTTGGATCCAGGCGGCACTTGGACGAACAGTGTATGTAGGTCGTAAGTCGGCGTAGAAAGGGCATACTGGCAGACGATAACACTGGAAAAAGTACTTCAAGTTTTAGTTTCAAACTTTCAGTCAACTTGCTTACCAACACTGAGTAGGGCACAGAAAGGGTTTCAATTCCGTGTTTCAACGTTTCAATCAGGCTGCTTTCCAACTCTGAGTAGGGTACGTGGCCCTGTCACTTGCTCAAACTGCCAGCCCCGCGAATTGCGTTGTGACCCTGAAACAAAAGTCTTTCTTCATGAAGACCCTCAATCGGCTAGTCTGAAGAAGGTGATTAGGCAGGACTTGCAAGGGAAATCCCGAAGCACTAAAACCTAAACCCTGAAATCATTCAACTCCTTAAGCCCTACTAAATCCCGAAAGCTTGAACAAAAGCTTAAACCTTAAACCCCTAGCGCCTAACCTAAGTCCTATCCCTGGGAGCCCAAACGCCAAACCGCGGGAACCCCAAACCCTACACCCTCATTATTTTGTCCTTTGCCAGAGACTCCAGTATCCCTGAATTAAGGAATATACCTTAAATTATAGTAGGATCCCTAGTATGATATATATATATATATATTCCTGAATTAAGGGATATTGAAGTCTCGGGGTCGGACCCTGACAGCTTGGCAGTCTTAAACCCCAAACTCCAAAACCCCAAACCCTAAACCATAAACTGCAAAACTCCAGAACCCAAGATCCTACACCCTAAACCCCCAAACCCCAAACTCCAAAACCCTCAACCCCAAATCCCAAACTCCAAAACCCTAAACCCTAAACTGCAAAACCCTCAAGCCCAAACTCCAAACCCAAAGCCTTTTCAAAGCCAAGAGGCTCTAATACCCCTTAATTAAGGAATATACGTTAAATTATAGGGGTTTAGGGTTTTTTTTAAAGTGCAGATCACCACCAAGAACGTCACCGAGAACGTAACGACCAAGACGGAACACACCATAGCTCCATGGGAGGCGGAAGAGCTCACCATAGCCACACTGGAGGCAGAAGGGCATGTGGGAGAAGGGGTTTAGGGTTTAGGGAATCCTCTGACAGACAGGTGTTTGCAGGTCAGCCTTTCCACAGAAGCAGAGAAGCAGCTTCAGGCTTTGGCCGTCCTCAGCGGCCTTCGAGACTGCTGCCGAGTTAGTGCAACCACTCTGGTGGCGCGCCCTTCTGCCAGAAGCGCGCAAGAACTGAACGATGAACGTGTGAGCTGATAAACCAACTGCAACACAAGAGTTCATGACGCTGCCGTGGCAGCAGAAAGTTCCAGAGCGAAAACAAAACCTTGGGATCAGCGAGATTGAACAACTCCTCAAGATCAGGAGTGTAGCTCGTGTTGGAGCCCACAGAAGATGATTCGTACTCGGCTCGCACAGATGATGGCTCGTGCTCAGGCTCCATCAGCAGTAAATGCCACCCGCAGTAGCAAAGTCAAAGTTCTCCACCTGAAATTATAGTAGGATCCCTAAGAAGATTTTAAGGTATATTCCTTAATTAAGGGGTATTGGAGTCTCTGGGATTCTGTCACAAGCCATGAACCTAAACCCTCGGTTCCTCAGTAACCCCTTCATGCTAAGGGAGCCGTTTTTGCTAGTATTCAGTTTCGATAAGGAGACCCCAAAACAAAAAGGACAATAGGGCAGTACTCAGGAACCTAAACCCTACCAAAGGGTTTAGGGCTGAGGGTTTAGGGTTCAGAGTTTAGGGTTTAGGGTTGAGGGTTTAGGGTTTATGGTGCGGCCTAAATTAAAGGAAACTACAGGTGAGGAGTTTAGGGTATATAGGGCTTGTATAAGGCTTCTAAAAGGTATACAGACTTTCTATAAGGCTCCTATACGGCAACTACCCACCTGAAAATGTCCTAGACTGAACCCTAGCAAAGGAGGCCTAAACCCTAACTCTTAAATCCTGAACCTTAAACGGCCCTAAACCTCCATAAAACCCCAAACCCTACACCTCAAACCCGAATCTGCCTAAACCCTTAATTCTCAAAACCTAAACCCGAAACCTTTTTGAAACCCGAAACCCTACCAGCACCTCCCAGGTACCCTTGAATGGAGCCCTTATGGCCCTTAATAGTGGGTGCTTAGGGTATAGTAGAGGGTAGTTGTGGGGTGCTGGTAAACCTCAAACCGGAAACTCCCTCAACCCTAAACCCTCGATAGCACCCACCCCGAAGCCCGTACCTTGAAACCCTTTTGATCCTCAATCCTAGGGGAGCTGGGCCTTTTTGTTGGAGAGCTAGGGTTTAGGGTTTAGGAAGACGTGGGTTTAGGGTTTTAGGGTTTAGGGTTCCAGGGTTTTGGGCTCAAGGGTTTTAGGGTTTAGGGTTTTAGGGTTTAGGGTTTATGGGTTTAGGGTTAAAGGGTTTAAGGTTTAGGGTTATTAGGGTCATAGGGTTATTAGGTTTATTTATAGGGCTAGCAAGGTTTAGGGTTATAGTTGTTTTTGTTGAATGCCTTTTTACGTCTGCTTAAAGCATCTCTAGACTCTGGAACTCATTTTGTCAGAGACAATGGGGTTATAGGGTTTTTAGGCTCTATATGTGTACCTATAAATACATATAGTAGTAGACACTTGGTAAGCAATAACGCAAAATCCGACATCCATATCTGAAACGACTTTGCTGCGGAAGGCGGTATCCCATAGTCCCCGCAGGAGTCGGCCTAGCACATGTAGAACACCCGACGTCACTGAACCCTAGACTCCCAAACCCAAAAACACATCGAAACCCTAAACGCTCAAGTGTCTGCCCTAAACCCTAAACCCTAAACCAAAAAGGTGCACAACACAAGCCTCTGCCTACCCTGAGGGTGTCGACGGCTTCTCTATTTTTCAGTTTAACTGGACCTGATCAGCAAAGGGTAGTTCTCCAAACTAGGTTTAGGGTTATAGAGTTATAGAGTTATTAGGGTTATATGGGGTTCATTTTCTGACACCTTTTAAGTCCTTTTAATGAGGGTGCCGTACTATATTGGGGACTTACATAGGGACCCCAATTCAGAGAACTACCCATATCGTGCATGGCTGTCTTGGGCCGCAGTCGAATCTCAGAATTACGGAAACTCCCTTACCCGCCCCCCGAACTATCGAAATCCCTAAATGTCCTACTTAGCTGACTGAAACTTATCAGCTTCTAAACCACATGCTTGTTCGTTGGCACTGTTAAAAAGGTTTAGGGTTTAGGGTTTAGGGTCCAGGGCGTTGGTTTCAAGTTTCAGGGTGGTGTATCAGCTTAGGGCCTGCAAGTGCCTGTCCTAAAACCGAACTTCCTGAACCCTAAATTCCTGAACCCTAAACCCTAAATTCCTAAACCCTTAACCCTAACTTCCTACCCCAAACCCTAAATTCCTAAACCCTAAACCTTATAAGACCCCAAACCGGAAGATCCTAACCTCCAAACCCTTACTTAAACCCCTCTACCCGACAGTTCTGAGGAAAAACACGCTAACGTAGGGGCCTTAAGGGTTTAGGGTTTAGGGTTAAAAATTAGAATAGGGTTTTTTGGTGGGTTAGTCTATATTTCCGGTCAGGAACCCCCCAAAGTTGTAATTGGCAATTATTGAGGCCCTAAACCCTAAACCCCTCAACTTTAAACCCAAAACCCAAAACCCATAACCCAAAACC